TGTGTGAATGAAGAGGCTGTGCTCATACCTTGTTAACAGATTCCCACTCTGAGTGTAGCTAAGTTTAAGGTCAGAGCCAAGGACATCATGACAGTAAGAATAAAAGGCTCTGATGACTTCCAGAAATAAATTCTCAACCACTTGAGGTCCTGAAACCAATAGAAAACATTTAGAAAAGAACTAATGATATAGTTAAATGTTTGCTTGTGTTGCGGCATGATCTCTAGCCCAGGTTAGCCTCGAACTCTCTCCATAGCCAAAGATTACCGTCAACTTCTGAGCCTCCTGTCTCTTTCTCCTGAGTATGTGGAAAACAGGCTTTTGCCTCCATGGCCAGTTTGAGCAGTAAGAAAGTGGATACTGTTTCCTGATGCTGAGCAGACTACCAACTGGGCTACACCCCCAACCCTTAGCCACCAGACTTAAATCAATAATGCTAAGACACGCATAACCACCCAGAATAACTCCATGTGTATAGGCTTTCAAGATGGATAGATGTAACCAAGGCTTACGGCCACAGAACCAGCGGCAGGAACAACTTGGAGGAAAACAGCAACACTACTGCACAGATCACACGGCTACACCTGGGCACAGCCACAAGCAGGGATTGTGTGGTGTCCCTGACTACACAAGGTGACAGGTCACAGCAGGTGCCAGTAGGTTGTCCAAGCCAGCTTCCACTGGGGAAGGCAGTTGAACACTGTGTTCCAAAACTGTGACCTGCATGGTCAAACATCACTCGGTGGAAAATCTACAGAGAAGAACAAGAACGCACTACAGGAGCCATGGAACTGCACCAGCCAGGTGTCAGAGCCAGAGCCGCCTCCCAGCCCGGCCCGCTGGGTCATGTGCAGGGAGGGGTTTTCAAAGCCAACTTCTCCTGAGCTTGCAGGGCCACTCTCAGCACAGGAAAACTCCGCCTTTTTGAAGTGCAGACGGCAACAGCACATTCTTGTCTCTCATGCCTTTGTTTTTCAACAGCACATTCTTGTCTCTCATGCCTTTGTTTTTCGGTGCTATGACCACACCTGTGGCCTCACCAAGCAAATGCTCTTACGCCCTGAGCCCCAAATTAACTTAATCTTTGATGCTTTTCATACACTCACACTGTGCCTCTGAGAGAACAATTTTTTATAATTTATTTTTATTTTATGTGCACTGGTGTTTTGCCTGTGTGAGGGTGTTGGATCCCCCTGGATGTGGAGTTACACACAGTTGTGAGCTGCCATGCGGGGTGCTGGGAATTGAACCTGTGTTCTCTGGGAGAGCAGTCAGTGCTGTTAACCACTGAGCCATCTCTCCAGTCCATGATAGAACTATTTTTATAAGCTTTGTGTGTGTGTATGTGTGTGTGTGTGTGTGTGTGTGTGTGTGTGTGTGTGTGTGTGTGTGTGTGTGTTTTATCTGCTGGAAGAGTGCCAAATGCTTCCCTCATGAAGGAAACAAGAAGACATGGCTAAAGCCCACCTTCTAAAAGGAGGGATAGGAACGGTGACTGCTTTGTGCTCCTGTTTCTGTATAATTGGCTCTTGTCTACCGATACATATGTCCCTCAGACAACTAAGCCAGCAGAAAAGCACATTTAACAACTGCTCAGCATGAAGGTAAACACCCCCCCTCTTCTGGGAAGTCCAGTCTGTACCTGACTACATGGTGTGGTGTCTTGGCTTACGATAGGACAGCTTTGAAACACAACACACATCTCCTAATGCTAAGTCCTATTTCTTCTTTGACTATCTCTCCTCGAGTCACACAGCAAGCATTCAACATGCTAATACCACTCCACTCGCTTCTTACGCTAAAACTCAACTTTTTTGAGATGGAGTTTACTTCCAAGTATACAGAAATCTTTGGAGCCACTGTTGGTGATGGAGGCGGGAGGGGACGAAACAAAAATCTGAAAGCACAGGTACTTTCAAGAAGAAAGGCTCGCACTGTGGGCTGGTTAAAGCCAGCAGGGATTGAGAGGCTCAGCAGAGATCTAATACAGCAAGCGTCGGGGGCAGCTGTGCTTAGCACTACCAGGCCAGCAGCACTTCCTGCAAAGGAGGAGAGCTGACTCCTCAAACATGTCCTCTGACTTCAACATGTCCACAGTGGCATGCAGGAGAGCATAGCAGAGCACACACACACACAGTGCAAAACACACAAAGTGACTTTTAGAAAACTGCGCTGAGTGTGACTGTGGAGGCAGAGGCAGGAGACAGTGGATTCAAGACCACCTGGCTACATATCAAGTTCCAGGCAAGCCTGAAGGGTAGAGACAAACTGTCTCAAAAGCCTAAAAAGCACAGCCAAGACCAACATCCCAGTAGCTGGGGTGTCCTTCCATCTTGCTGCCCTAGAGCCCACACCATTCCGGACACAGAACAGATACTCATTACCGAACCCTCAACTAATGACCAAAGGGCTTCCTGGCTCTGTGTTCTGGACTGAAGGCGCACATTCCCTGGCCTCTTAGACAAAACCCTTGAGCTTGCAATGCAGTAGATGGGTGGGAGGGGAGTCCCTGTCCTATTACAGGGCTCTGTGACCAGACATCAGTCTGATAGTGACGGGGTAAGTGCGAGAGGTGACTTTCCTCAGCAGATTCTCAGGGGTCACAGTGTGTGTGTAAGAGGGGTCAGGGTTCACAGTGTGTGTAAGGGCTCAGGGGTCACAGTATGTGTAAGGGCTCAGGGGTCACAGTGTGTTTAAGGGCTCAGGGTTCACAGTGTGTGTAAGGGCTCAGGGTTCACAGTGTGGGTAAAGGCTCAGGGGTCACAGTGTGTGTAAGGGCTCAGGGGTCACAGTGTGGGTAAGCGGGGTCACAGTGTAAGCGGGGTCACAGTTTAAGCGGGGTCACAGTGTGTGTGTAAGGGGTCAGGGGTCAGAGTGTGTTTGTAAGAGGCCCTGTAAGATGCAGTGTCTAACTCAGCCATCCCTGATTTAATATGAAATGCTCATCTTTGCAGAGGAGCAGCTTGCTCATGGTCGCAGGAGTGTGTGTGTGTGTGTGGGGGGGGGTCGCTTACCAGTTATAAGGCTCACAAGCGGCTATGACACGGGAATGAGCAGTCTTGGGAAAAGTACAGACACTCTGCAGGCACACACACCAAAACAGGAGCCTGAACTTCTATATGCTCTCCAGTCTCTAATCTGCTGACCACGTGTGCGCTTAAACTCCCCAAAACACATGATACATATCTGCCCCCACAGCGGGCGGCAGTGGCTTCTCCCACGGTACCTATTTCTGGCTTGTCCAGTAGACTGAGGAGGATACGGAAAGGCTTCAGGTACGCGTGCTGGCGCTCCTCTATGTCAGCATCTGAGAACTTCTGATGGAGTATCTCAGACAGAGCCTGTGTGTTCACAAAGCCACACGTTAGAATATGGTGTGCGGGACGATTCGGCATTACGGGATGTTTATTGTTAAACTCTGGGAGAGAATGAGGACCAGCCCCAGCCCCCAACACAAGCATGTCAGTCCTTCAGTGTCTGCCTTGAGGTCTCACAAAGAAATGCATTGCAGAACTATGATGAGGAGCTGTGGCTGGGGTCAGAGGGTAGAGAGAGAGTCTGCCTAGCATGCACGACATCCTGGGTTCAGTCCCCAGCACCACACAGACCAGATACAATGGTGCATACCTGCAACCTCAGCACACAGGAGGCGGAGGCAGGAGGACTGGAAGCTCACGGTCTGCCTCGGCTACATGGTGAGTTCAAGGCCAATCTGGGTAACATGAGACCTTGGCTTAAAACAAACAAACACTGCAAACAAAACAAAACAAAAACCAGAAAGGAAGAAAAAAGACTGTAAGGAGAAATGTCCTTACCTCAACTAAAAGATTCTTGGAGTATTTGTCAAAAAAATATGAGGACTGGTCTTCATAGGAAGAAGAAATGACAAATTCTGGCACAATGGTATTTCCTTTAATGTCTGAACCTAAAAAAGAAAAAACACCACAGGATGTATAAAGCCCTTTTCATAGGTGTTTCATAGGGGTACCGTGTTGTGCAAAACCCTAATGCTGCAGTATTTAGTAAATATTATAACTCCTTCAACAGAAAAGCAAAGTCAGACCTAGTCACTTCTCCCTGCTCCAGGGATGCATGAGGCAAGCGTCACACAACTGGGCCCCGTATCTTCTGACAGTTACGTCCTAGCTAAGGACCCAGCAGGGAGAATTGATCCCAGCGGGCATCAGTCTAGTTTGTGCAGGCATTCACTACCCTCTTCTGCAAGATGTTTATAAGGATTGGAACAAAGATCATTTCCACATCACAGTTTATTTGTTCAGCACTACTTGACATCGAGGCAGACTGCCTGCCTGGCTGATAGTCTGCGTGCCTGCAAAAAACTGAGGTCCCAGGTCACAGCTAGGCAAAGCGTAGAGCTTTCTCTATACACAGAATGCCATGTTCTTTCTTTAATTGGCTTTTTGACATAGAGTTTCAATGTGTAGCCCTGGCTGTCCTGGAATTTGTTCTGTAGACCAGGCTGGCCTAAAATTCAGAGATCCGACTCTGCCTCCTGAGTGATGGTATTAAAGGCTTGTGCCACCAATGCCCAGGTAGGGGTGGGGTGGGGCGGGGCTCAGCAGCAGTGAACATGCCTAGCATGCTTCAAGCCTCATGTTCCACCCCTAGCAGTGGAAAACATGAAAGACAAGAGAAATGCTACAGAATTCTTTCACCATTGCTCTGCACATCCCTGTCTTTTTCTTAAACATACAGGAATGTGGGAACTTAGATATAAAAATGCTTTCTGTTAGCCCTCTCATTTCCTGGGCCCTGTCCCCGGGAAGCCTTCCAACCAACAGCCAAAGGCTCAGCGCCTACAAGTTTCAAGTTGTCCACAAAAACACTACTTAGATGCAGTCCAGGGGTTCTCGTGATGTCCCCCTCACCTCTCCTCCAGTCTTCATGTGGGTTTCACAATGTTCTGGGGTTTTCCCCACACAGAACCCTGTCCCATGAATGTTCTCCACAGAGCACACACGGCAGGTTCCTGTCTCCCCCACCTCCTTTCTGTTTTGTACTGAGGGTGGGACCCAGGCTTGTCCATGCCAGGGAAGCCCCTTTCCTATTAGGCTACGCCCCTGTCCTAGCTTAATCTGATTTAAGGGTCTTGGTATGTCTCCACCTAGCCGGAAACCCTTACTGCCCTGCCTCAGCCCTATGGTTAATGCAAATGTCCCATCACACCTGACTTCATAACAGGCTGCTCATTAAACATCACTTAGCTACAGAGTTTCAGTATTTCCTGCTCTTAAGTAGAACTCAGCTAGAATTTTAAAACCCCACTTACTTCTCTTTTCTACAGGGGGAAAAAAAAGAAGCTGCAGACAATCACAGCTCCTGTAGGAAGCCGACCTGCACTGACCAGGGCTGTATTAGTCAGTCCTGTCTTTCCACAGTTCCTGACTCAGAAACATCACTCAGGGCCCCACTTAGCCCACAAACCAGCACTCACGCTCACACTCGTACAGCTCAGTACCTAGTAACCAGGCGTAGAGTCTCCTATTGAGAGACATGTCCCTTCTCAGGAGGGTCTGGGTGGCAGCAGAGAGAATGTGCACGACGTCACGTCTGAGCAGGGGGATGGCTCTCTCGTCAGGGTCCTGTGGAAGGACGGAGAAGGCTTGCTTTAAGGGAATGTTGAGCAGGCTTCTGACTTCTGACATGTGACTCTGCTTAACCACCCATTCCCCGAAGATAGCTGTCAAGAGCTGGCTGTCCCTAGGCATCCACCAAGGCCAACAATGCCCGCTTGCTCAGAACTGATGCATTCTATCCTGGAGAGACAGAGTAAGATGCAGGGGGCTGAGAAGCAGTCACCAGATTCAAAAGCTGCTCCCCAGTGTCACATAAGTGTCTAACTGCTGGGGAGAGGAGGCCCTCTTCCAGGAAGGCCGTGTCTCACAGCGGGGTCCGGGGGACTTTCTGCCAGTCTCAGCCTGGTAGGCCCTTCCATGATGACAACGAAGCTGCCAACATTTCTGAGAGTGACCCCAACAAAGCCATTGCTTTGCCAAGCTGGATCTAGGTGGCATCATTCTCTCTCTGCTCTCTCCTTGGTGCCCTGTCTGTCATAGACAGACATTTGTTCACCTTTCCTGGGGAAAGTCAAATGAGGCCCACAGAATAAGTAAGGGCCATCAACAGGCTGAGGTGAGTGGAGACTGCCGAGTGGCTGAGCGCTCCCCTCTCTCCTCCTCTTTCCTTTCTCCCCTCCCCTCCCTCCCCTCCCCCCCCCCCCCCCCCCCCCCCTCCCCCCCTCCCCCTCTCTCCCTCTCTCTCTCTCTCTCTCTCTCTCTCGTAGCTGAACTGCTGTCTATACAAGCACCTGCCCTTTGGCTTTGAAGTATCCAGCAGGGCAAGCATGACTCACCAGACACGTATAAAATGGGAAGAAAAACAGAATGATTTCCAGATTATTTCTCTGCACAAGGACATTGGTGTCTAGTAGTGATGCACACAGAGATTTCACCTGAAACAATAAATCACAGAGCTTGTTCCCAAGAGACCCAGTACCCTCTGCCAGCTGCTCTTGTGTAGTCACAAAAAATTAGGTAACTTTTGCTGGGAGTCTTGACATGACATTAGGCCACACGGGAGGTGGGGGTCGGGGCAGGGTTCAAGCTCTAGGGACCAAGCTCTAGGCTACAGGATGAGTGAAGAAGATACACAGCTGTAGACCTCATCTGAGGGCTGGTGGGGGAACTGACTATACACCCAGTTCCGAGACGAGGCTGGAAGCCATAGGGCTTGTGGGAAGTTAAGAGGTCATGAGGCTGGGGGCCGAGGGTCTGAAGAGAGAGCAGGTGAGCAGTCAGCTAGGAGCAGACTAGGAAGCTCCTGAATTGGGACTGTGTGAGCCACATATTGCAGAAGCACAATGCAGGTGTGGGCAAAGCCACACTTTACAGAAACAATCTCTTAGCTACTAAGAAGAAGCTGGTCAAAGTGGATGGGGGTAGCCAGTGGGAAAACTGTTGGCCCAAGGGGAGACTTAGGCAGGAGAAACAGGGCCTAGAAAAGGAGAGAACAAACAGGCCATACACACAGGACGGCAAAGTGGGAACACATTCATGTAGGTTCTCCCACATTCCAGTAGAAACCTGGGGGACCCTGGGAGAAATTCTACCAAGCCCCTGAAGACAGGAATTCCTGCTACCTACACTTTGTAACCCACTAATTTAACCTGGAAACACTAAGTTTAAAGTGTGGGTTCACTACCAGGTGGTGACAGACAGCATGCCATCAAGCACGGGGTCATGGGTAGCCAAAGATAAAGGTCTGGGGTGCTCCCACTACCAAACTCATGAGCAAGGTTGTGGCTGCCAGGAAAGGAGGATGCCCTTGAAGGGCCCAGAGAAGGCTGCTGGGGAACCCTGACCTGTATGGAGGACCAGGAGTCATCGGGACACCAGAGCAGGAGAGGGGACAGTTCCCGCTACCCATGTGTTCCTGGGGCTCTGTCCGACATCTGCTTCTGGCCTCTGTAGGTGCCGTTCATTCTAATGCCTCCCTGCCTGCCTGCCTGCCTGCTTGTCTGTCTGTCTCTCTAACATACACCACTCATAAATAAGAACTCTCCCTGATGCCTGATGGAGAAGCCATGCCCACATTCCTGGGGGAGCAAGGTACCTACCGTGAGCTGGTAATCGGCGCCCAGCATGTACTTCTGCTCCTTGCCTGGTGAGTCCCTGCTGATGTGGCTCACCACAAACAAGGAGGCAGGGAGGCGGATGGAAGGGCTGGTCAGGACGCTCCCCCACAGGGCAGCATAGAACACCTCCCGGCCCACCACCAGGGACAGTCTCAGGAGCAGCGCATCTGTTCTGTTGGTGAAAGACAGACGACAGGGTTTCAGGGTTCCTCCCACCTGCTGCACTGTGGAAGAGCAGGACACTCATGGGCTCACCCTGGCCAGGAAATCCCAACTTCCCCTCACCTCTACTCTGCTGTACTTCCCGCCCTCATGCTGTCACGCGTCACACCAGCGTGGCACACAAATAATCTCTGGGATTCTGAGGATGAATTCAGGTTGTTGGGCTTGGTGGCAAGCACCTTTACCCACTGAGCCATCGTGCCCTTTATTACATTTTAAGTAGGTTTACTTTTCTTTATGTCTGTATGTCTACATGTGTGTATGTGCATGTACTTGCAGGTGCCCATGGAGGCCAGAAGAGGGCACTGGATGCCCCGGAGATGGAGTTGAAGGAGGATGTCAGCCACCCAACATAGAAAGTGGGAACCAAACTCTGGGCTTGTTAAGGCAGCAAGCGCTCTTAAGTGACAAACCTCCTCTCCAGTGCCACACATTTAATGAATGCATTCCTGTATGCGTGTAGTGTGCATACCTGTGTGTGTGTGTGTGTGTGTGTGTGTGTGTGTGTGTGTGTCATATGCTGCATGTGCTTGTGTGCTTACTTGCATGCATGAGCATCACACATGGCAGGTCAGAGGACAACCTGGGAAAAGCTGACCTCTTCTCCCACCATGCAGGTGCTAGGTGTCAGACTCTGGGCACCAGACTTGGTGGCAGCCACCCTAACCGCTGGGTCATTAGCCAGCCCCCCTTATTTTCAGACAGGGTGTCTCTGGTATCCCCAGCTGGCTTCCTGCCTCAGTATCCTGAGTGCTGGGAATCACAGGTGTCAGTCACCGGCCTGGCCACACCTCTCGTCCTCACTTAATCTTCCCATGACGCAGTCAGCAGCTCCTGACAAGCATCACGACCAGTGTATCAGGGCCCGTTTTTTTCCATGGGCGCTAAAGCAAGGCTCCGCTCTGCAGTGCTGGCACTGAAAAGCCATGTGGGCTGGTGACAGGCCTGCCAGTGACCCGGCAGAGAGGGTTCAGTCATGATGGAGCTGACTCATCACCTACAAGGACTCCATTTCTCATGTTTCCTACCTGCAAAGACTAGGGCGGGAAGAAGGCCAGGAGGGACTCAGTGTGAAGAGCAGCTCACTGGGTTTCTCAGCTCAACCCTTCTGTGTTCAGATCCTGGCTACGGGACCCAGGACAGGACTGACCTCACCACAAACCCATACTCAGCCACGAGACAGAGCCAAGAGTCTCTGCCAGGGAGGATGGTGGAAAAGAGGAACGGGACTGTCTACATAAAAACAGCAACAGAGTGGGCACACAGGCTATACCGCTAGATATTACCCTGGTGCCCCAGGTCCTTCGTGGTCCCAATGCCAGGTGAGTGGTGGCACAGTTGACACTGTGAAGACCAGATGAGGACCACTCCACACAATCAGACCTGACCAGGACCACTCCACACAATCACCTTCAGCTTGTTTTTTTGATTTTAAAAAACAAATAAAGAAAAGGAAACAAAATACTTACTGCAAATATATGCTACATTTATATATTAAACAGAGCTTGTTCTCCTTAAAAACGAGTCTGGGCGATTAAAACAGAGACCTGCAAGTGGTCAGGTGCAGAGGACGAAGGGCTGCTGAGTGCTCTCAGCACCTGACCACCCTCCTCTCCGAGGATCCAGGTGGGAGGTCTGCAAGAGCCAGAGGCTGGGCAGAGTGCTGGGCCAGTGTCTTCTGGACATGACATGGCCTGTGAACCCACAAGCTCACTGTACCTGTGGTTACCTGCACAAGACAGGTAGACACTGGGGCTCTCAAAGTTCATCAAGGGATGGGAGGGGCTCAAGAGGCCCCGCCCTTCCTTCCCTAAGGGACCACTGATAATTACAGTAGCTGGGGTCACTTCCTGCAGTGGCGTAGCCATTCCTAAGTTACCCATTCTCTTCAGGAAGCCCTGTTCAAAATCAGTGGGTCATACATGGCAAAGGCGTAAAAGTTCAGTGGGAGAGGGACGGGCCTGAGAGGGTCAGAGGGCATGAGGACAAAATTCATTGCATAAATTTACAAAACTGCCAAAGAGTAAAAAGTTGGTGAAGTTTTGCAGGAACCTAAAACTTACTGACTCATAAAGTATTTGCAGGGGACGAGGACCGGGTGTTAGGAAAACAAGGAAAGGAGGCAGAAGTCAAGCCAAGGGTTCAGGGAAGTCCACAGGAGGCTCTGTGGCTGAAGGAAAGCTGAACCAACGCACAGAGCTTGGCTTCACTCAGCTCTGAGTCATCACAAGGGGCGGAGGCACTGCTCAGCAGCCGCAGTGTGTGGTAAACTGGCCACAGAGTCAGTGTGTGCCAGGACACAGCCCTGCTGCGTGGCCTCTGCATGGCGAAGCCTCTGTGCTGGGCAGGCTCTGCTGGAGGCAGGCAGATGCTCCTAAGCGAGGGAGAAACTCCTCACCCAGGGATTGCTCTAGGAGTGAGTGAGTGCTCCGCCTGCAAATCCACTGTGAGCACTACAACACACATGCTCACACACACATGCACGCATACATATACACATGCACACATGCACACACTCACACATGCACACACGTACATGCACACACTCACCCATGCCCACACCTACATGCACACACTCACACATGCACACACATGCACATGCACATACACATACACACACACACACACACATGCACACACACACACACACACACACACTCACACACATAGACACACACACGCACACACATGCATACAGTCTTGTTCAGAACAGGCCATCCCCAAGTACAAGCCATGGGATGCCAGCTGCTGCATGGCCTCACCCAAAAAAGGCTCCACCATCAAAAACCCAGGAAACTCTCCCACTGTCCCCTTCCCACTACTTAGGGGACACTGGCTAGCTTTCTGTATTGAAGAAATGCAACTGTGTATCTCGTCTTATTGTGCTCACCACAAAAGAAGGGCCAGGCCTGGTTGGCAGCTTTGGCTGGCAGAGGCAGGTGAATTTCTGTGAGTTTGAGGCCAACTTGGTCTACATAGTGAATTTCTAGACATCCAAGACTACATTATAGAGAAACTCTGTCTCAAAAACCAAACCAAAACAACAACAAAAAACAAACAAAGCCAGAAACAGGGCTGGAGAGATGGCTCAGACACACACTCACAGAGGACCTGGGTTCAATTCCCAGCACATGGTGGCTCACAACTGTTTGTAACTCCCGTTCTAGGGGACCCAACAACCTCACACAAATGTGCATGCAGGCAAAACACCAATGCACTTAAAAAAAAAAAGGCCTAAATAAAAGGGTTTAGAGAATAATTCTGATATAACTTCACCCTGGAAAAACAAAATAACAATGGTGAAAAACTCTGAGCTTTCTATCATGTCAGAGTGACTCAGGTCATCTCCGTGGTTAGACCCTAAAAATCAGTGTGCAGTTCAGAATACAGAGCTCCAAGCTTTTCATTCAAAGTCACCTGACAACAACCGTCATCACCATAACCCCCCAAGCCCATGTCATGTCCCTTCTTCCTCATTCTCCCTGGCTGCTGCTACCCTGTCCCTCCTGCAGACACAAATTCATCAAGTGCTCACAGAATGTAAAGCAAGTGGGTGGCCTGCCCAGGGATGGTCCACAGCTCCAAGCATCTCTCACAGAATTTAAAGCAAGTGGGTGGCCTGCCCAGGGATGGTCCACAGCTCCAAGCATCTCACAATCATTGCTATGCCACCATTTGCCCAATGGACAGATAGGAGGCTGGGGATTTAAGACCTACAGGGGAACATAGCAAAACCCAGTCTCAAAAGCCAAAACAGATAAATCAGGGTTTCCTAACCAAATGGTATTGACTTGGGCCTGGAGCTTTGCCTCAGGAGAGCTTACAAACCTGGGATGTCTGCAGCACTGGACGCCTCTGCCAGCTACACACCAGTAGCCAACTGGCTCCTAATCTCCCACCAGAAAGTTCCAGCTCCCTCAAGCAGAACAGTATCACCCTGACTATGCTGTTGTTGAGACAGAGTTTCACTGTGTCATTGGGGCTATCTTCAAACTCAGGGTAATCCTCCTGCCTTTGACTCCTGAATAATAAATAGGGTTATATGTGTACCCAAGCACCTCTGATTTAAATGGTCATTTCTAGTTAAGTCATGTCTCCTTTTCTTTTCCTTCTTTTTTCCTTTCCTGTGGACTTCTTAGGCCTGGAAGTTGCTGTGTATCCTGGCTGGTCTGCCTCAGCCCCTGCAGGCTGGGATCACAGGTGTGGGTCACTACACCTGGCCCCTCACATCCACCAAGGCTCTCCCCTCCCTCTTGTCCTAGAAAGGAGACTGGTGAGTATTTGCCCTTTTAATCTTGTTTTCTTGGTGCAGCAAAGCACAGGCGTGTGGTCTTGGGGCCTTCAAAGGGCTCTGGGGCAGGAATAGGTGATACACTGGCCTCCAAGGGTCAGAAAGCCAGGAAGGTGACACTGTCACACACCAGCCAAGAGTCCCATTTGTTTGTGTTCACTGAGAAGTGCAAACAGGGAAAAGTTTCCGTCCACATAAAGCAGTGAGCTACTTCATCCTCACACCTGGGTCTAGCCTAGCCCTTCGCAACATGGACACTGTGACCGTGGTCCTGCCTCTTCCTGTCTGTGCTGGGAATTAATGTGCTGTTTTAATCTTTCTCAGATTAAAACAAACAGCAAAGAACCATCTTATACAGCCAGCTCACTGTGCCTGTCACACACACTCGGGGACTACACAAAGGCAGCACCTCCCTTGGGAAACTGGTTACCACTTCTGAGCGTGGCAGACACTGGCTTGGCTTCCAGTGACAGCTAAATCTATTCTGATTCATGCAGCTAACTAACTCTTGGTTCAATGTCAAGAAATCACAATGTTGAGGAAAAATATCAATATTAAACAACACTATCAACTGTTCAAACAAACTCTCATTAATCACCCAAAAGAGCAAACAAAACTCCAACTTTTAACATGTTTCTAGTGTGAGTGACACAGATTCGAAGGACCTTTGGGGAATTAAGTAATGTGTTAACCTGTTAGAGAAAATGTACACATATTAGCACACACGGACACTCAGGGGCACAGACACACACAGTCCTGTTATCAGAACACGAATGACCAGAACTTGCAGCAAGTCTGGTAATGGCCCCCTGCTACCTCCTGTGTCACCATGACTGCCGAGTCCACAAACTCCCACGCCTCACCACGTGTGCTAGCCACCATGCTTGGCAACAAGATAGAGTCCTCCTCCATAGCAGTGACTACAATGGTGGGCGCCAATGGGGAAACCAGGGCTGAGCAAAGTGAAAGCCTCAAGCAGGCCACGCACAAACCTCTGGTTAGGTTAGGTTTGCCCAATCCAAGTACAGACGCAAATGAAATGCAGCCCGGGTCACTGTCACTGGCTCCCACACTCTAAACTACTCTGTTCCCTGGTGTTCTGGAGCAGAAGCCAGAGGCGCCAGCATATGGGAGTGTGTACAGGCAAATCAGCATTCACCTCAGACGGCCAGAACATAAGCCCTATCACCAGTGGCCAATCACTGCAACCTCTCTCACAATAGTCAACATTCCTTATAGTGACAGCAATTCCTTACAATGCTTGAGAAAGAAAATAATTTAGAGAGCACTTTGTGCGTATGCAATAGTTTATGTGGCCACAAACTTTCTCCTGCTTCTGGGCTGTCACTGAAACTCTGTGACAAACTCAAGAGCTTTAAGCACTTCTTTGGGTCTTGCTGAGAGCTGTGAAGAGATCCTGCTCTGGCCCAGTGTGACAGCACATCCATCCCTATCATCCTAGCCCTTGCGAGGCAGACACTGAGGCAGGAGGATGGCAGTTAGATGCCAGCTGGGGCTCTATCATGTGGGAAGACCTCTTTGTCAGGAAAAAGAAGAAGAAGAAGGGGGGGAGGGGGGTCCTGCTTGGCACACTACTCATCTCTCTAAGTCCTGCCTGCTGAAGAACCCAGCTTCACCTTTTCATTTAGAAGCTGAAAGGGCACTGGTTCTGGACTCCACTCTCAGCTTTGTTCCTCCCAGTGGTGGCTCTGAGAGCCCTGCCCATCTTCCTCCCTCACCTGGGGCCAATCAGGAGACGCTTCCTCCACTAGAGGCGGCGGGAATGTGCATCTGTGTGTGCCTTCCCTCTACAGCTGTGACAACGTGGACAACTCCCTAACGGGACAGGACGTAACGGGTGCCCTGCACAGGAGCTTCCCTTCCCAACCAGGACTCTTCTCAAGGTCAGGGTCTGGTATAATCTCTCTATTCCTTGACTCCCCTGCTGGTGAAGTACCACGGTGAGGTTCTTGGGAGAGTGGGGGAGCCTGTCAAGTGGGGGGAGCAGAGAAATGCGCTCTAACCCTGCTTTCTCTACACCTCGAGGCCCCATCACGTGTGTGTTGGCGGTGGAAGTGGAAGACCCTGACCCGCACAGCTAAGCCAGGGCCCGGACCTGGTGTCCACCAACCTGTCGTAGATCTCAGAGCCCTCCTCCAGGCCCGGCAGCAGGCCCACCAGGAAGGCCTGGAGGCTGGGCAGGAGCAGCTTCTGCAGTGGGAGGAAGTACCTCTCATACAGGCCAAGCAGCACGGGCCGCACCGACATGGCGGCATAGGCCAGGAGGGGAAACAGGCCGCAGCTTTGAGAGACAAGAAGGACAGGTGAGCACAGTCAGACACCTTGTCACAGATCCCAGGGGTCAGCAAGCAGAGGGGAGGGGAGGGGAGGCTTGGGGGTTGCTTTTCTTTACTTTCAGGTACTGGGGGTGAAACCCAGGGCCTTGCCCAGGCAAAGAGGGAACTAAAGACCAAGCAGAGTCACTTAACTGGTGACAGATGCATGTTTGACGTGAGATGGTCACATGACACCAGTAAGTCAAAAAGCAGGCAACCAAGCTGCATGCACACTCGGGTGCTCCTTCCGCATAGCACGTGAGCCTGGAGGCAGGACTTTGTGATGGAGACCCAGCTCCTGCTCAGGGCTAGGTCACTAGTTGCTATGTGCTTTTCTCCCCTATGCATATTTTGCTTGCTATTTTCCTTTAAAATTTTGTTGTTGTTGTTAAGGTAGAGCTAAGGGTGACCTTAACTTCCACTCTTCCCACCTTCACCCCCAAGTGCTGTAATGACAAGCATGGGTCACTACGAGGATCACGCCCAGGGCCTTGTGCATGCTGGGCAAGCACTCTACCAACTGAGTGACAACCCCAACCCCTTGCTTGTCATTTCCCAATAGTGAACTGAAATACCGCTTGCCCTGGTGATGACAGACTAGGGCGAGAAACTGCTGTACCTGTACAGGAACAAGTCTTTGGCCAGCCATTTGGTCCCCACAATCTTAAAGATGATCTCGTAGGTCTCTAGGGCCTTTAGGTGCACACCACTGGGCAGGGCAGGATGCAAACACTGAGCTAGCCTCTTGCTGATAAGGAGCCTTCGTGGCAGCAGAGAATACTTCAGGTTGCTCTGGAGAGCCTGTGAGACAGACAAGAAAAGGCAAGTGAGAGGGCAGCTGTGCCCTTTACAGAGAGAAGCAATCTGTGGAGGCCAGGGCAGGAGGTGGGGCTACAAGACACACAGAGAGAGGTCAGACGGACTGCGTGCGGAGCTCCATGGAGACTCATCACAAGCCAGGCTCTCTGGGGCCCTGAGGGGCTGGAAAGGCCCTGACGTTGCTGGAAGGGAGGCAGACAGCTTCTTGGTGACAAGGTGGCACCCACAGATGGACGAGGGCTAAGTGCAACTCTTCCCCAAGAGGCCAGCAGTCCCACAGAAATGAAGGACACTGGACTGTAACCAGCATAGACAGCCCTGTGTCCCTCAGAGGAGCCTGCTGTGTGCACAGAAGCCCTGGCTGTGCTCAGGGAGAAGGGGCCTGGTTCCTCCCGTCATTCTTCAGTTACCTAGACATGCAGTTTTGGGTGGAGCTCATATGTAGGGGAAGGGCAATTTCTGGCATCTCTACCAATTAAGGGTTGCGCTGAGAACACCCAAATTCCATAGGAAATGTAACCGCAGACGTGGAGCAACAGTATCCCCAGGCAGGCAGACACAGAACCCGTGAGAGCACCGGAATTCCGTAGCAAAAACACATTGCAACATTGTACCTTTATCCTCCGAGCCCTCTCGCCAGCCCTCCACCTTATTTCCTGAGACAGGATCTCTCACTGAACCTGGAGCTTGCTACCTCACTAGGCTGGGCTGGCGGGATCTCTCACTGAACCCGGAGCTTGCTAACCCACCAGGCTGGGCTGGCCAGCAAGCCCCTGTCGCCCATGTCCACCTTCCTGGCATAAGCATTACACCTGTGCACTGCACTGTTCACCCGGCTTTTTTGCATGGGTTCCGGGAGGCTGACCCCAGGCCCTCATGCTAGTATTGCAGGCCCCTTACCAACAGAGTCACCTCTGGCCTGTTACCTCACTTCCTAACACCAGCTCCACACGTCACGGCACAGAGCAGTCATTGTTTCCTGCCTACGCTTTTGCAGCTCCTCACCTGCACACTCCTCCCCACCTGTGATAGCTCACACCCCTTCCCAGGGAGGCAGCAGAGTCCCCCGACAGGCAGGGCACATCCTGCCTGCCTGAAACTCTGGGCAAGTGCTTTCTTATCCACCTGTGCAGGCCCCAGCTTCCCTGAGGTGCTTGACAGCCTGACACTGGCCCTGGGCCATGTGCCCTAGGGGCCATGACAGCTTTCTGCTTATCAACAAAGATACTGCTTCTGCCTCTAAAACAACTTGGGTTAAGTTGTTAAGTAAAGGTAAGAGAAGGAGAGCCTTTTTATCAGAAAGTCTGTGGTCTACATGACCTCTCAAATTTAATACAACTGCGTCTTTAAGGCAAGTTAGATCAACTAGAGGTGATCACAAGTGCCATTTGTTTGTTTTGTTTTTTCGAGATGGGGTTTCAGCCGTGTACCCTGGCTGTCCTGAAACTCACTCTGTAGAGTATAAGTAAGTATCTTGAAGGGCTGGGGCTGAGGTTCATTTGGTACAGTTTGCCTAGCATTCATAAAGCCCCAGGTTCAATGCCCAGTGATGTGTAAACCAGGCATGGTAACACATGCCTGTGACCCACACACTCAGGAGGCAACACGGGATGATAAGAAGATCAAGACAATCCTAGACTCCACAGAGTTCAGGGCCAGCTCAAGGCCAGCCTAGGATATATGAGATGCTGGCTCAGGTGTGTGTGTGTGGGGGGGGCGCATCTTAGTACATTACTTAGGAAGGGTCTAATAGTCTAAAACCAAGAGAGGTCCAGTAACACAAACTGTGTGCTGATGGAAAGATGAAAAAGAACCGAGGAGCCTACTCAAATCACAAGCTGGAGTAGAGGGGGACACAGGCAGACAAGGCCACTCAAATCACAAGCTGGAGTAGAGGAGGGGGACACAGGCAGACAGGGCCACTCAAATCACAAGCTGGAGTAGAGGAGGGGGACACAGGCAGACAGGGCCACTCAAATCACAAGCTGGAGTAGAGGAGGGGGACACAGGCAGACAGGGCCACTCAAATCACAAGCTGGAGTAGAGGAGGGGGACACAGGCAGACAGGGCCACTCAAATCACAAGCTGGAGTAGAGGAGGGGGACACAGGCAGACAGGGCCACTCAAATCACAAGCTGGAGTAGAGGAGGGGGACACAGGCAGACAGGGCCACTCAAATCACAAGCTGGAGTAGAGGAGGGGGACACAGGCAGACAGGGCCACTCAAATCACAAGCTGGAGTAGAGGAGGGGGACACAGGCAGACAGGGCCACTCAAATCACAAGCTGGAGTAGAGGAGGGGGACACAGGCAGACAGGGCCACTCAAATCACAAGCTGGAGTAGAGGAGGGGGACACAGGCAGACAGGGCCACTCAAATCACAAGCTGGAGTAGAGGAGGGGGACACAGGCAGACAGGGCCACTCAAATCACAAGCTGGAGTAGAGGAGGGGGACACAGGCAGACAGGGCCACTCAAATCACAAGCTGGAGTAGAGGGGGGGACACAGGCAGACAAGGCCACTCAAATCATAAGCTGGAGTAGAGGAGGGGACACAGGCAGACAAGGCCACTCAAATCACAAGCTGGAGTAGAGGAGGGGGACACAGACACACAAGGCAGATAGGAAACAGCACATTTCACCTGGGACATTTTCAAACACACAGAAGAACACGAAGAAAAGCCAGGTGGCCGTCACCTTGCTTGGCTGATCAACTGATAGCCACTCCTAAAGACACAGCACTTAGACGTTCTCTGTGACTAGTCGCTGACTGAGGACACCAGAGACTCCTCAGTGCAGGAGCCTCTTCATTGTCTCAGCTGATTCTGTTCAAGTCACACCCAGTCTCAAGTGTGTCAGTGTGTGCCCAGGACTGCTGCTGTCTGTGGTGTCACCGAGGTGGTCCAAATCAATACAGGCAACTGGGATTCCTGGGCTTGCACACAACACCACGGCCATGTGATACACACAAACCAATATGGTCAACAAAATTGTGAGTCCCTTCTAGTATAGGTTTCAAAAGCCAACTTGAAGATCTTCAGGCACTTACCCCTGCCTTTAGGGCCATGATCCATGGCTCTAGGAAGCCACTCCAAGCCTAGGCCCTTGCACAGCCCTGGCTGACACACTGAGGAGCCGCTAGGACTTGAGGGCCTGTCTGTTGCTGGCCTTCCCTAGTTTGACTGACGTACCTCTTCTCATGGGTCCCCCTTCCCCTGTGAATGCCTGGGACCACACAGCTCTGTGAATAGCACGTTTGCCTACCCACACACCATCAGGTAACACACAAGTTAGGCTCTGTTAAAAGGTAACAACAAAGCTAGACGGATCTCAGAGAAGTTGTGTGACTGAACTAAGGCAGTGAGATTTATAGGATGTAGGCGAGGGGTGATGGTGTGTCCACCACAAGCTGGGTCTGTGCCCAAGTATCGTCAAAATCTGAGCACTTAGGTTGGAACTGGGTGGCTGGCGTCACCAGGGGAAGAAGTTGCCGGAGCTGGGCTTTTTGGCACCTTTCCTTTGTTCAGAGACTCTCTGAGTGGACAGGAGAGAGAGAGGGAGAGGGGCAGGAGAGAGAGAGAGAGAGAGAGAGAGAGAGAAACAGAGACAGAGAGAGAGAGAGAGAGGGAGAGAGAGAGAGAGAGAGAGAGAGAGGGAGAGAGAGAGAGAGAGAGAGAGAGAAGGATGGGGCTTTCTGGAGGCTCCAAGGGAACAGTAACAGGCCTGTGTGGTGAATGAAGATAAAGACATCCACAGGCACAGTGAGGTGGCATGAGGGTCACTCCAACACAGCGTCGTGACACACCCACAGCCAACAAGCTGGACAAAGGACAGTCCACATCATCAATATCCTTAACATCATCAAACTATAACCCTGAAAATAGTGAGTGTGGGTTCAGGCTGTCCACGCCTCCAGTATCAGCTACTTTGTGGGCTGATGAGGGAGGCCTGCCAGAAGCCAGAAGTTCAAGGCTTTGAAGACTGTCTGGATGACACTGTCTCAGAAGGATTAAAACGTTAACTTTTATATTATGCCACAATAATTTTAAAATGGAAAGATCCTGTGCTTCAGCCTCTTGCCAGCTAACTTTTTGGAAACAGGGTCTTGCTATGTAGTTCAGAGGTGGTCTCAAACACAAAGCAGTTCTCTGGCCTCAATTTCTCCAGGTCTTGACACAGCAAACACTCTCAAGAAAAGAAAGGTTCCATCTGTGTCTTCTGTACTGCGTATATGTTATGACAATTTAAAGAGGAAGAGACCCCGTGTCTCATGGCACCAGAGGAGTTGGGGACTGACAGCAGCTTTACGGCTTTATGTGAGACTCTAAACATGTGACACTATGCCCAGCCAGCCATGGCCACTCCGCCAACACCACGCCTCAATTCCCACCCGCACACGTGTCTGACATCATGACGCATCAAACCTGACTGAAAAGAAACATGAAGGCATGAAGTATTTGGGTATTAAAGGGAAGCCCCAGCCCCAGAGTTAACGCTCAGGCTGTCTTCCTACCTCCAGTGCGGCGCCTGCACAGCCAGTCTTAGAGACTTGTCTCCCACACTAACTCAGGGTCATGTGTGAAGAGCCAGGCTCTTTTCCTTGTCCTTATCTCCTGTCCTCACGCCTCACACCCGCTGGTAGCCTGGCCCAGGTTGGGAGGGCACTCCACTCTGTCGCTCTTTCCAGCCCAGTGAGAATGCCACTGTGGAACAGGCTTCTTCTCAGCGAGGAAGGCTTACCAAATACTCCAGAGCAGGTCACAGTTGGGAACTATTTTCAGGAACCTGGAAGCCTAGATTGGTTGGCCAGTAAGCCTAGCATACCCAGTTCATGAGGAATAGTCAACAAATACAGGATAAACCCCATGAAGCTAGTGAGCAGGGAAGGGAAAACAGACATGTTTTCAAAACCATTTCAATCAGCTCCACGGAAAGGAAAAAACTATGATTGGACAGGAAATTAAGCTTCTGCATTCATTTCAC